ACTTGTGGGGTTCAAATTCACGACCCCACGATTAAGAGTTGCATGCTCTACCAACTGCGCCAGCCAGGTGCCTCAAGGGGTTATTTATTTATTTATTAATATTTATTTATTTTCGAGAGAGAGAGAGAGAGAGAGAGAGAGAGAGAGAGAGAGACGGAGCATAAGCAGGGGAGGGGCAGAGAGAGAGGGAGACGCAGAATCCGAAGCAGGCTCCAGGCTCTGAGCTGTCAGCACAGAATCCGATGTGGGGCTCGAATCCACGAACCTTGAGATCATGACCTCAGCCAAAGTTGGATGCTTGACCGACTGAGCCACCCAGGCGCCCCAGGGGTAATTTATTTTTTATCAATTTGTTAAATGTTTACTTAAGAAGTATATAAATTTTAACTAGGCCAATTTTTATATAAGTCAATGAAACTGTAATACTGAAACCAGGATAAGACAATAGTCAGTTTCTTTTCCCCCCTTGCTGAGAATCACCTCAATTCCCAGAAAAGGAAGTCGGGTGAAATGATTGTTTCAGATAACAAAGCCCCAGTTTAGGGAAGCCTATAAAAAAGATAAGAAATGCGGAAGAGCCTCTGGGGAGCACCTGTGAGGACAAACACTGAGGCTCGTATCAGATAACAATCAAAGGGATGAAAACCACTTCTAGCCACAAATGGCCAAACATCACATCCCATGGCATAGTATATGCTCTGCATTAGCAGATGAGAGGCTGATGGCCCAGGGAAGTTAGAACCAGCCCCTGAGGTTCCACTGCCAGGGTAGCTAAGCCGGGACCTGATGCCAAAGCTCCTCTAAGCCGTGTGCTCTCTCAGAATTCCAGCCGCTCCCCCTGCCTGGAATGTGATAACCTCCTCTTCATGCACACTTCCTGTTATCTTACTAACTCAGACCTCAGCTCTTTTCAGCAGCCCTTCCTGACTCCTGCGCCTCTGGGGCCAAGCTGATCCCTCTGTCGTTGGTGGTCCCCAATCATTTTGTTAGTAACTCTACCAGGGCACTCACACTGCATTTACTTATTCACGTCTTCTCCACTAGACAGTGAAAGCAGGCACCGGGCTTTCTCTTCCATGTGCTTCTAGTGCCTCATATGCAGCAGTTTATCAGCATTTATTGAATTAATCAGTCTCATCAGTCACCCAGTTCAATCTTCACCGTAAGGTTTACATCCTTATGTTATCTTCACAAGTGCTTTTCCCACTTTAAGGTAGACTTCCCCCATGTGGACTTTAAACAGCCTCATTTTTTTTTTTTTTTAAATATGCCACTTTGGCAAATTGATTATTTAAAAAAATTTTTTTTAACATTTATTTATTTTTGAGAGTCAGAGAGAGACAGAGCGTGAGTGGGGGAGGGGCAGAGAGAGAGGGAGACACAGACTCAGAAGCAGGCTCCAGGCTCTGAGCTGTCAGCACAGAGCCCGATGCGGGACTCGAACTCACGAACCATGAGATCACGACCTGAGCCGAAGTCAGATGCTTAACCACTGAGCCACCCAGGCGCCCCTAAACAGCCTCATTTTTAGCATCCTATCATGGAGCTGAGCCTGCCAGGATTTGGGAAGGGCCAGGCTGATGGCATGGCACCTACTTCAGGTTTCACACTCCCAGTTTGGTTTCTTTCCCCACTACTAACATCCGCCTACCATCCTGGTCACTCTCTTTGGAATTCCCTTTGCTTTATCCCGGTCCTTCCAAACCCATGGTGTCTGCCATAAAAGGAAACTGGTGACAGCAGTAAGGTTCTAAAGTCTGTGGGTAGGGCTAAAAGCAAGTACAGATCAGAATTACCCCTAAAAAATTCCTAAGGAAAGCACCAGGTAGGACAACGGGGTGAGGCCTGGACAGATAATCTCCCCGCTACAATGGAGCAGATTACTGTAGAGAATCAGGTAGATGAATGGAGTCTGTGCTTAGGGTCCATAATGTAGGGAAAAATATGTCTTTCCATAACAAAATTCCATTTGAGAGAAGCACACGGGAGCTAAATCTGATGAGACAACGGCAGATGAGGTCTCCCCGCTCTTGTGATGGGGAGGCAGACAGTGCATGGGAAGCACCCACACGATAAACTGTGCGTGTGTGTATGATGCAACCTCAGTGATGAGACAACAGAACAAAACCTCTTCTGTTTCAGGCACCCACCCAGCTGCCACCGTCTCATGTGCACGCTGTCCTTTTCTCTCACGTCTAGTTGACATGATCTAGAATGAAGTTTAACTTTGGAGGTTTTTACCCCAGAGTTCAGCATGCCTGAAATGACATGCATGCTAGCATATGCGTGGTTTTCAGCAGAGCAATCAGGTTCCAGAGTATCCAGGTTACTTCTACAACGGGGTCTGAGATGCCAAAAGCGTACAGACAACTGTCTTGGTGTTTACTGCTTAAACTGCAAGGAGGGCTTTGAATCTTTGTATGTATATATAGAGAGAGTGAGAGGTGGGTGGGGGAGAGAGGGGCAGAGGGAGAGAGAAAATCTTAAGCAGGCTCCAGGCTCATCACAGAGCCCGACTCGGGGCTCGATCCCACGACCCCGGGATTGTGACCTGAGCCGAAATCAAAAGTGAAACGCTCAAACAACTGAGCCACCCAGGCAGCCTTGAATCTTTCTTAAGGAGAGTTGTTTTATCTGCTTAACAAATCCTACGATCTAAAGCAAAGAAACAAAGCTATCGTCTGTCGAGTAACCTATCATCTCCTCCGAAAAAAGTATTGGGACTGGAAAGAGCAGAACTGCATACTCCATAGCAGACCACAGGGCACCTTTAAAGAAAGAGTCAAGAGCTCTTAAAAATTAATTCTCAATTCCTCTTTTTAGAGAACTTGAATCTTGTGCTCATTTTGACAGGTTCCGTTGTTCCAGAGGGGCATAACAGGCACCTGAGGAAACTGGCTGCTTTTGGGGTGAGGAACAGAAAGTGATAGAACTCTTTAACTGAAAAACAGGACTTGGGCCATAATGAAATCATCTCGCGGAGGATCAGAACACTCTGCAATCTGGGGAAAGGGGGCACAAACACAGCCAATTCTAGAGCAGCCGGGAAGAGCAGACGACCCAGGAGTTTCTGGATGGCTGGAATACCACCAGGAGGTGGGTTACCATCCCTCACATCCTGGCCCCGGAGTGTGGGTGACCACAGCTTTGTTGTTCCCAGAGGACAGGAAAGTGACCGGTAGAGCAAGGAGCTCTTTAACACTTGGAACCCTGGGACAGATTATGTGCACCTTTTCTTTGTTAAATGCGGGGAAGAGAGGTAATTTCCCCCTTCAAATGATAAAATGTACGTGATCTTCAAATCTCCCCTTCAAGTAAAACGTACGTGACGCAAAGAAGACGTCAACATACAAGAAGCCGGCCGAAGATAACTGGTGTGTCACAATGAGAATGCTGACACGTTAGGGTACCGACGGTGTAAGGAGTCCTCGTCAGTGAGACACAGGACAGCCAACACAGAAGTGTGGCAAGTCAAGCTATAAATCCAAACAGGCAACTGCTCCCCCGAGATCTCCATCCCCTGGGGAAGCCGTGAACCACATGAACTTGGGTCAACGGGATGAAATACGACGCACGCTCGATACGCCCTGATTCTGGGAGAGACCACTCCTCACCTCCCCTGCCCCGCCCCAGCCCAGGTTTCCAGCACTTTGGTAAAAGGCTGGCAAAAAATACCAATAAGCTCCAAGCCTGGCAAAGATGGCAATACATACCCAGGTTGTGGGAGACACTGCAGAGGTGGCCACTGGTCACGCCGGGCAGTTGAGGAGCTGAGACTGCCCTGTACAGCCAGCGGTCTTCTTTAATAGTCTTCCCCTGTTTCTTTCAGTTTCCTTTTTAGTAAAAGGCTCTTCTCTGTTTTTTTTTTTTTTTTTTTTTCTGTTTACCCTACTCTTCTGTTATTTGCTGGTTGGTTTTTTTTTTTTTTTTTTTTAAAGGAATCACTCAGTTTCTCGGAAACACTTGAGATTCTTGACCAACCTCTCTGACGAGACTGTCCAATCAGGGGTGGGCGGGGTGGGTGGGGACCAATGAAACCCTCTTGAGAAACGAGTCGTTAGCCGGTCATTGCATCAGCCACCCCACACATTCCCTAGACTGGCCTCCGTATAACCTCTCCACCCTCTTCCTCTTCCCCACCCAAGCATCAGTGTAAGTGTTATGTGTAGCCGTGGAGAGGCCGAACGGCGACTGTGCCTTCCCTGCAGGTGTTCACTGAGGCAGCGCAATGCAGTGGAAAGATCATGAGTTCTGGGGTCAGACGGGCCTGGGTTTCAATCCCAGCTCGGGCATCTCAGCACCTTGGGCAAGTCACATTACCTCTCTGCTTCATCCTCGGTTTCCTCATCTGTGAAATGGGCATAAAGAAGCCTCCTAACTTTACCGTGGAGGGGACTAAGTACGATACCAGAGGCAAAGCCCCCGGCACGTGGCAGAGCCCCGTTAAAAGTGGGGGCTTCTCGCCATGGGGAAAGGGAAGAGGTAGGAGACGATGCAGGGTCGGTGCCGGCAGGAGTGGGCGACAGACGGGGACGCCGGCTCTGGGAGGAAGGGGGCGAGGGGCGCCGTGCCAGCCTCCGCGCCCCTCGTGGTGCCAGAACCCGGCGGGCAGCGAGCCGGGCTCTGAGGAGGATACTCCGGGCCCTCGCCTGCAGGCGGCTCCGGGAGGGCCAGGTCTTCCGGCACCGCCCCGGCCTCCCGCCCTCCCTCATCCCCTCACTTACCGGCCCAGCCGGGCCCTTCAGCACCGCCGGCTCAGCCACGGACGGCCTCCTGGGCGTCCTTGGAAACTCCTTCCGGCCGGAACCACTTCCGGCCAGGCTGCACCCTCATTGGCTGTTCGCGCGGGGGCAGGGCGGAGGCCGCGGGTGATTGGTTGGAGGCCCCGGCACCAGCGGAACGCGACTGGGCTGCGGTGTGCCGGCGGGACTGCCTCCGGTAGGACCGAGCGCTTCCGGTGCGTGTGGTGAGCGGCGGGCCCGGGGGCGGGAAGGGGCTGGAACCCCGCGGCGGCGGCGGCGGCGGCGGTCGGAGAGCACCACACCCCTCAGCGCGGGCCTTCCTCCGTCCCTCGCCCGTCCTTCATCGCCGCTGCCTTCCGGATGCGCGGTGCTCTGGACCAGCCTCACCTCCAGCTCTTGACAGCTCGGCTAACTTCTATTCATCCTTCAAAACCCATCTCTGGTCGTATCTTCTTTGTTGCCTTCCTCGGTCTGTAGCCTCCGGCGCAGGATCCGTGTTCTGTGTTTAATCGCTGTACACACCAGACCCAACATAAGGCTTGGCACAGAGTAGGTAATCAGGATATGTTTGTTGAAGGAGAATATCCTATTTCTTTTACTTTTCTCTGTGCCCCCCTCCCACCGGGTTGCATTTCACAAATATTTCTAGATGCTGGGGATCAAACAGTGAACAAAACACAAGGAGTCTTGTCCTCGTGGAGCTGACGTGCTAGTGACTCTCAGGGCCACTCCCCCGTTTTGTAGCCTCCTTTCTCCAATGCTCTTACCTTTCTCCCTGTACCTCTTTGTCTTAGTTGAACGTCCCCACACCATGAGATATTTTCCCTTTTTTTCCCCATTTGCCTTAGAAACAAAAAAGGCAGCACTTCCCCCCCCCCCAGGTTTCTGTTGTTCCTGATGTTTCCCATTCTTTTCCACTTTTGCATGTTTTTCTTGAATCACCCTTGCCTCCTTCTCTGTTGCCCCATTTGATTAGTTTTGCTGTTTCATTCTCCAGTGCTTCTCACCACCTCTGTTCCCTCACCTCCTCCAGAGCATTAATCGCTCGGATGTCACCGTTTGTCTTAGGTCTGCCTCGGCCACCCTAGAGGAAACTGCAGCCCCGAGCTCGCCGCCACCTGTACTGTCCTGTTTTACTTTTCTCCTTAGGATTTCGTACTACGTCACACCCTGTATTTCACCTGATTATGGTCTGTCTCTCCCGCCGGCATGTGAGCATGGTGAGCACGGGGCATCCTTCACTGTGTCGCTTGCTACGGTGTGCTTGGGGTGGGGCTTGGTGAGTAGCCCATGCTCCATCAATATCGAATAAATGAACGACGCGTCCATGAAGCAGGTAGTGTTGGGAGCCTTATCATCCACCCTTCTGCATTCATTCAGTCCTTGCTGCCTTGCCTTGTTAGGAAGTGGGCTAATGGGCCCCAGCCCCACTACTCTCTGATCTTTTGCCATAGACCTCTTTTGAAATTCCAGCCATCGGCCTCTCTTTTCTTTAAGTTGACCGCTGCAGAAAACTAGGTGGGCGGGATTCCATCTCACGGCTGGGCACAGACACCCTGCTGGTGGGAACCTGGTGGGTTCCCTGTGACAGGAAGGAATGGCATGCTGTGGTGTGTGGTGCTGTGCACAGGAGCCGAGACAGGTGAGAGGTCTCATCAGGATGGGCCTCAGGACCAGGCTAAGTATGTAGAGAGCAGAAATGCCAAGTTGTTTGCAGAGCACAGTCCGTTAGTTTATAATTAGTCCTTTACATTAGTTCTGCTTGAGATACGCTGGCCAGTTATAGAAGTTTTATTTTACCTGCCTAGATTGGGCTGCAGGTGGAGGTGCAAGTTTTGGAGGAGGTAGACTACAGACATTTGTTGAATGAAGACGTAGCGTGTTAGGCAGTGGGACACTTCAGGTGATGGGTACCCTTTGGTACCCACCGCCCAGGGAAAGAGCTGGTGGTAGGCTGTCTGGAGTGGCTTAACAGAGGACCCAGAGGGAATCTCTGGTGCTGACCTGACCCCATGTGTGGGAGTAGGTGTTCAGTGTGGTACAGTAAGGTAGGGCAGGGTGGGGCGTTCTTGGAAGTTGGTGGGTTGCCAAGTTTTAGCGCTGCTCCACTGCGCCATCTGCTGTCCTGGATGTGCTGGGCATCCCTGTCTTCTCCTGACTGTGCTTCATCTTAAAAGCACTGAGTGGGGCAGAGAAAGACAGATACCCTATGTTTTCACTCCTATGTGGATCCTGAGAAACTTAACAGCAGACCATGGGGGAGGGGAAGGGGGGAAAAAGTTACAGAGAGGGAAGGAGGCAAACCATAAGAGACTCTTAAATACTGAGAACACACTGAGGGTTGATGGGGGTTAAGGGAGAGGGGAAAGTGGGTGATGGACATTGAGGAGGGCACCTGTTGGGATGAGCACTGGGTGTTGTATGGAAACCAATTGGACAATAAATTATACTTAATATATATAAAAAAACATTGAATGGGACTCCAGACTGAAGTACTTCTTTCTAGAAACTAGGTGGCAGAAATTTATTGTGTATGATGGCTCAGAATTTCAGGAAGAATCTTTTAAAGAATTTTTTAAAAGTTTATTTGTTTATTTAGAGAGCGTGCACGCTTAAGTCGGGGAGGGGCAGAGAGAGAGGGAGACGGAATCACAAGCAGGCTCTGCACTGTCAGCTTGGAGCCTGATGTGGGGCTCAGACTCACGGACTGCGAGATCGTGACTGAGCTCAAGCGAGGTGCTTAACTGACTGAGCCACCCAGGTGTCCCAGGAAGGATCTTTTAGAAAGGAGAGATTCACTGCTGTGTCAGTGTGTGTCTGGAGTGAAATTGGGGGACTCAGACCACACCTTCAAAACTGGGGGGGATTGGTTGCTTGAACACCCTAGTCTTGTGTTGTGGGTCTGTCTCCCCAGCTGGCTTGTTGTTGAGACAGGATATCTAGGCAGTGGGGGGCGAGGGTAAAGGAGGGACTGGAGCACAAGGGGTGGAGGAAGGTACGGGTGACATGCTTTTCCCACTTGGTGCGTTCTGGACCTCTTCCCATTTCAGTATTTTCAGACCTACCCTCAAAGGCCCAAATTGATCTTATGAAAGACATCTTAAAGTCCTGAATCTTTCTGTACAGGCAGCCTATCTCCATTTAGTCGGGTCCTCTTTTATGTCTTTCAATAAAGTTTTAGTTTTCTTCCTATAGATCTTGCTAATTTTTTGCTAAAGTTATTCCCAGATATTCCAGTCTTCATTTGAAAAAACAATATATATCTTCTCGTTATGCCTGGTATGTAGAAAAGCCCTCATTTAAAAAAATGTTTTTTGATTTATTTTTTTTTTTAATGTTTATTTTGAGAGGTGGGGGCGTGAGCAGGGGAGGGGCAGAGAGAGAGAGGGAGACACAGAATCCGAAGCAGGCTCCAGGCTCCAAGCTGTCAGCACACAGCCCGACGTGAGGCTCGAACTCACGAACCGTGAGATCATGACCTGAACCCCAGTCGGATACTTAACCGACTGAGCCACCCTGGTGCCCCCCAAAAGCCCTCATTTTTTAATGTGTTTCTTCCTAGAGTTTTCCAATCATGGGTTTGCTAGGTGGCATGTTTTCTTTTAATTACGTGTGGTGGTAAATACTCTTCCATGCGTATTTTCTGACATTTGACTTTTTTGGTCTTAGGTAGTTTGTCCTCCAACGATAGCAAGAAACTGTGTCTTCAATGGCCTCATTGGTGGCTTATGATGACTCAGAGTCAGAGGCTGAGACTGAACCTGCGGAAAGTTTTAATGCTGCCGGCCAGGTGAAGGACACCTCTGATGTGGTCAAACCTCGTGGGCAGGATTTTGCATCAGAAGCCCCAGGTGTGACAGAAGGGGCAGCACTGCCCACAAAGCACGGTTCTCATGAAGACCCAGCTGGCCATCGTCTCCCCCTGGTTCGGCTCTGGAGAAGTGACCCAGGATCTTGCCCCAGCCAGAGGCTACAGTGGCCCAGAGCAGAGCCTGAAGCCACCTTCCCCACAGGCAAGCCTCCTCGACCTTCCCTGTGGACCAGCCACGTTCCAGCTGGCCATGTGCCCCTGGCAGCTGCCCGCTTTAAGCAGGTGAGACTCTCCTGGGGAACTTACGACTCCTCCAAGCCATCGTCCTGTGCCCAAACCAAATCTGAAACCCCAGGTAAAAATGGCAACTCTCTTCAGAGGAAAAGGTGTGAGGACTGTGTCGTGCCCTACACCCCCAAAAGATTAAGACAGTCGCAGGCATTAAGCACAGAAACAGGCGAGAGTAAAGATACGGAGGCACAGGGTCCCTCTGTGGGGCGTGCCCCGGCCCCTCTCTGTGTGGCCCCCAGAGTGTCCGAGTTTATTGAGCCATACTTGGACAGTCCGTATCGAGAAACCACGATTCCCAGGAAAGTGCTTTTCCACCTGAGAAGCCACAGGGGCCCCGTCAACAGCATTCAGTGGTGTCCAGTCTTCGCCAAGAGTCACATGCTTCTCTCAGCTTCCATGGATAAAACCTTCAAGGTAAGACTTGAGTGATCCCCCTTCTTCAGGGTTTCTTGGGAGTAAGCTGCCGGGGTATTTTGTTCTTCATGACAGTGAGGTAGGGGTGCTGCACGTTTCTGTGGGGAAATTTGTATAACTCTCTCCGTCATGTTTGAAAGTGTGTTCTCGGTGGCCCACCTTGGATTGCAGGTTCGTTTTGTCTGCTCTTCCCCGATGCCGCCTCGCCGAGGGCACCAGAGGGTACTAGTCCTTGTCCCTTGTGGGGACACTGAGGACGCGCAGGCACGCTGGAGCCCTGGGTGGGTGAGGTCACTGAGCGAGGCCGTCAGAGTTTCGGAAAGCAGGCCCAGGACGAGTCCTGGGCTCCTGTGAACCACGTTGAGTGTTGAGCCTTGCCAGCTCCGTGCCAGGCGCCGTGCTGGTCCCTGGCCTCGTGGTAGAGGCCGTGGATGAGGGGAGAGGCTCTCCCAGCCCTCGGCTCTGGAGTGGAAGGACCAAACTCTCAGTGGGATGCGAGTGCTTTGTGAACCCGCCGGGAGGGACAGCAGCCCGGTCTTGGGGGGCTTGGTGAAGGCTTCCAGAAGGAGGGGAAGGTTCATGTGGTGAAGGGGGTGAGATGCGGCAGAAGGATGTCTTTGGCTGTAAGCATGGAAGTCTTGAGGGGCCTGGTGGGGGTGAGGGTCCTGAGGTTAGGGAAGCGGGCAGGGGCCGGACCAGGGGATGGTTGCAGATGCCGTGGAGGACCTCCAGGTTCCACAGAAACTCTTTTTCCTCGTTGTTACCATTGTATTGTATTGTATTGTATTGTATTGTATTGTATTGTATTTATTTTAATGTTTATTTATTCTTGAGAGAGAGAGAGAGACAGAGCACGAGCGGGGGAGGGGCAGAGAGAGAGGGGGAGACACAGAATCCGAAGCAGACTCCAGGCTCCAAGCTGTCAGCACAGAGCTTGACACGGGGCTCGAACTCGGGAACCACGAGATCATGACCTGAGCTGAAGTCGGACACTCAGCCGACTGAGCCCCCCGGTGACCCTCGTTGTTACTTATCTTAAAAGCTCCTGACATCACGTAGACTTCCAGCGAGCAGACCCCACGTACTCAGGTATGTCGTGCGGCGGGTGTGTCGCACCTCTGACCTGTCTCCAGCCCCTCCCCCTCACTCTCAGCAGCACCTAGGAAGTCACCTGTATGCAATAGGTGCCACATAAGTACGAGCTGAACGAATGCTTCCTGGAAAGAAAATGGCTTTGGAGTTGAGGGAACATGGCTTCAGATCCAGTCTTGCTACAGAGCACCTGGTCGGCTGGTTGGCTGGCCCCACTTCCGGTCTGGTGTCTCCTCTGTAAAGGGCACAGTCATACCTGTGTCATGTGACCAGGTGAGCGAAACACTTACAAAACCCTGTCGCAGAGCTAGGTACCCCTCCAGGTGCTCGGTGAGTGTCAGCTTCCTCCCTCTATTTTCTTACTGTTCTGGAACCATCCTGCCCAGGACATTGTGCTTGCAAATTACGTTTTGAGCTTTTCTCCTAGGAGGCATTTTCTGAAATGAAGAAAGGAAACCTAAGGACAGTGAGGCTTTGAAATAAGCTAAATCGATGGGTATCGTTGTCATTTTTGAGTGACCAGTTTGGGTCATGAGCCCACTTACCTGTGTTCTCTTCTGGCGGGGCTAACAGAGTCGTTCGGGGACAGTGCCGCGCTCTTCCTTCGGTCTGAAGCCCAGGGACTTTACACTCGGGTCTTTGGTGCTTTCCCTGTGGGGGTGGGGGCTCAGGAGGCTTCCGGTGTCCCCAGTGTGCCCTGTAACAGGCTTGGTTCAATCCCATGCTGCTGGGGCTTCTCAGCGCTCCTTCCTGAGAGGCTGCGCCCGTGGGGGGCCGAGTGCAGACTTGTCTCTTTCGTCCAGAGCACATCTGGGGGGTTTCTGGAGGGCTCGTGTGGGCCTGTGTGGTGCCAGGCCGTGTCTGGCTGGAGTCACAGTGGTCTGGGCTCAGGGTCAGCTTTGTGACCTTGGGCAACACACTTAACCTCTCAGAGTCTGTCCCCCCCC